CTTACATAAAAATTCTTATCATACACATAAAATGCATAAATATAGAGCTACGTATAAGAAACTAAATGTGTCATATACATGGTACAATTTACGCCGAAACTTTTTTGTTAAACGAACATATATGACGTTCATTATAAATGGAATTAATATTCTTTTCAATATTTTATGATATACGTATGATCTACATACGTGTCGTACTATATTCGTTCTGAAAATATTAATGTGAACAGACTTTTTATTTTTATGACATCTTGCTAAACAAATATATATATGTGTCAGGCATTTACATTTTTATAAGAAACAAAGAAAAAAGGGGTTTAAAAGAAGAAAATAGGAAATTAAAAGTGAGAAGATATAAATATTAAGCAATCTTTGTAGCGAAATTTGATGGAAAGAAAAATAAAAGCAAAACTTTAAATGCAACCTAAGATACTGCACGAGTATAACAGAAAAGCGTGACTAAGGGAGAAGAGGAAGGAAAATAGAATAGAAGGAGTGGAATTCAACGATGATGTCGTGTTTTCTCACAACAGCAAAGCAACGAAATGCCAAAGGGGTATGCACGCGAGAATTCGATACGTCGAGCAACATGCAACACACTGGTGATTTTGAAAACGATTTCAGCAAAAGAATAACAAAATAATCTCTCACCGACCCTCCAGCATTTCGCTTTCTTTCCTCCAGATATGCAATCTTTTGCCCTGAAAACATGCGATACTAATTTCACATGAATTTCATGCATTATACTTAAACGTAGAAATTAGAAGTTTTATTGCTACTCTTTTATACTTGGGCTATGCAAAAGGTTTAGTCCTTTTTATAAATTCTTGCATTATTTTTATTTGTATCAAATTATTAAGAATAGAAATAGTTAATTTTGAAATTTTTAATTCCAAGCATTCAATTTGCTCTCTTACCATGTTAGTATAATAATAAGAATATTATGAAACATCAACAACAACTAATAGTATTTTATAAAGATGTAGAATCAATCAAAGTAATGACACAGATACCTGTGACGTTCGAACAAATCACCAGAAATTACAATAAATCTTGCCTATAAATGGATTGGTTGAATGTTGCGAAATGAAATAACCAGAATCGAGTGAAGTATATTCTTAGCCAGTTTTAAGCAAGTTGTAGGCATCGGTTGGCCTTCATCGTGCGATGCAATTTTCTAACTGAAGAGATAATTAAAGGCTTCCTCGTGTGGCTTCTTTCGTGCGATTCTTTATAATTTCAGAGTGGAATTTTTCAAATTCGTGCAAATTGGTTTCAATAAAAGTTACTTTTTATACGCGTGCTGTCACTCAAAAATAGGGTTGGGTTAAGAATCTTGGGACCCGAGGCTATCAAACCCTCCCCCTGATTGATAAATTTGAATTTAATTTCATTGTTTAAATGATTTAAATAATTATTCAAATATTACCTTCCAAATGCAAAGTTGCATTTTGCAAATAAAAATTGAATTGTGTATATTCCACAAATTATAATGAGATAATTTCATAGTAAACCTCTGAAATAAAATGAAAACGTCGATTTCTAAAAAGCAAAGCATTGTAGAAATATTAGAACCCAGTGATTATAATTCGTAATGAGCCTAGGTAAGCATAAGTGTGCAGATATCAAGCAATTAAATTAAACAATATATACGACTTGTTGTCACGATTTACTTAATTAATATTGCGGTACTATTAGCAGCGCATTAAAAATACAATTAAATGTATCTTCTGTAATTAAGTTATATACTTTATCCTTTTTGCTAATCAACGAAAAATATAATTCACGGAAGCGTGACTTTCTTTTCCATATCATTTTTATTGTTCCCATTTATTTTTCACTTTTCTTCTTTTTGATTTAGATACAAAAAATAAAATATCTTTATTAACGATTTTATTTTAGATTTATTATTCTAGACCAAAAAAAAAAATCACAATTAAAAGCTTCTAGGTAATTGCAAATTCTCGAATCTAATTTAAACATATTTCTATAAAGCGGATACATTTACTTCGATAAGTAATTAAATGTTTCATTAAATACGATGACGCAGTCTTAACGCACAGGGCATGTATGCATTTCTTCGGATTTTTATTATTACCATGCAAATAGATTAACTTATGCACAGATTTAATTGCACCTCGTAATACTTTTCTCTACGTGACGAATGGTTAATTACATTTTCTATATAGAGTGTATAATTTGAAGAGTCATAGATTATTATTTGAACACATGGTATGTCTAAAAAGTAATAAGATTAATTTTTCACAATTCATAACTGTACATTTTTTGCAGAGCCAGGTGGTTCCTTTCAAAGTACATAGCTTTTTTTTTCGAAGACCGACTTTATAGCAAGTACGAAAGTTGTATAGAAAGCAGCTACCATCAGGAACCAGGGTGATTGGCAAAAATTCTGCTGTTTCTTTACGTTTTTACGTTCGAACTTCAGTATATATTCGATCACCTATCGATATTCTTCTTTTTTTTTTTTTCTTTTATAATGGACACGCCCTGCCGTTCTTGCTACACGGAATGCGCTGCGCCATCATTACAGGGACGACGAACTTTTACTCTGACTCTGCCAATGAATCCCTCTTGGCACTTCGGCTACAGGCAATTTATAATTTCGTTTAGCGAACCGCATTGATGCAAGATTTATTTTGCACGCTGAAAGATGTACCCTTCGGATGCCCATTTCACTTCCAAAGGCGAGCCGCGGTCGTACATGGGGTGGTCCACATGATTCGAATAAACTTGATGCCTTCATAAATAACAATCAGGTATAAACAAATATTTCGTCGTTCAAAAAGATCACGCGATCAGATAACTTTATATCATTTTTTATATTTTACATCTTTCAATACTTTAAATATTTCATTGAACCGAAGACACTTCATTTTTTATATTATATCCGAATGAAGAGATGCAATAGTAACATGGTTTAATAATTTATACATATTTTGTCACTCTTTTAACGTTTGACATTTTTTTAATTAAGTTTGATTACTTGAAGCGATTTACGATCTAGGTATCTCGAAACAATTCGACACAACTGCCCCGCGCAGAGGTTTCTGTCGCTGGCCTGGCATCTCCGGAACGCGTAAAATCCGTTTCCACCGCAACGACGACAGTTGTCGTAGTTCAATCAGTAAATTCAGCCGCAAGTAAAGTACCTCCGGGATATCGCGTGTGCACACGTATCTGTAGCTGACTATCGTACGGTGAATCCACTCGGAGGACAATTTTACGATCGTCCTTCCGCCTCCACCACCTCCATCCTCGGCTCCTCTTCTAAACTCGACGACCTCACCTACCAATTCTCTGTTTCCCCTCGTCAACCACGTCGAACACTTTCTATCTTGTCTCAATTAGACGTAAGTAACAATCGAGTAATTATATTGATTTTCTCATAGACGAACACGTATTATCTGTTTGGTGATTCATTTAAAAGTGCATCAAAATGTTCAAATTTTATTTATCCCTTAGATGATGGGCCATTGTGATGGCAATAACTTCAATTTAATTTTAAACTCCATTTGTTTGTGAATTGAAAGTAGGTAAACGTTAAATGCTATACTTTTTCTGATTTTTATCGTGTGTCGAATGTTGCACCGGTTCGCGATGATGTGTTTTATTATTAAAGCGGTATTTTTCAAGAAGCGGGTCATGCGACACCATCACGCGAGTTAATCATTCGAGGTTCAGCTAAAAGATAATGAACAAAATTTATGCAAGAAAATATTGACTGGCAAGTCCATAAACCGAGAGAAAGACATATAAAACATTTTATTTCCCACCGAACGATTACTATTGCCTCTTTAGTTATCTATAAAGCGGGGAACGCTGTAAGACAAATACAAGACACGGTTTATGTAAAACGAACGAGCTAGGTATATTAAATGTAAAGTTCGTATACATATATCAAATTATTTTTACAAAATCGAGATACGTTTTATAACTTACAGATTGCTTGCCGCCACAAAACTACGTACTTATTTTTCCGTTTATCGTTTTACAGTTTCGGTATGATCGTTTAAGATTCAATGAATTGCTTCGTTAAAGTACATACAAGAAAAATTGGGATAAAAATGTTTCCATGAAATATGATAAGTGCCATTCATTCGTTAATATTGCGACATACAAAATATCTTATTACAAACATGCTTACGTGTTTAAATGTAAAAATCGAAGTTCTACTTCCTTTACATAGTGTTTCTGTTTAAGCAAAATTACGGTTCAGCTTGTATTATTTAATTTCAAAGTGAAACTAAATAACCTCCGATATGAAATTCTGTCGCATTAGTAACGCTTCTCTGATTTACATCAAAGCGATTAAGTTTCTTTATTACATCGAAAAATTGGTAGAAGCAAGTAGTTTTTTCAAATTGAGATAACTCGAAAATATTTTATTAAAACCATCCATTGATATATAGAAACAAACAATATCTGGATTCACCCTCGGATGGCGGATCTTGGGGAGGGCGCCTTTCCACTTTCTAAATTTTACACTGTATTTTTGAAAATTATTCTTTCCATACATGAAACTCTTTTATTTAAAAATTATACTCGAATTATAATTCAATTTAGTATTATAGTACAAAAAAATGGCTTTTTAAAATCATGACTTCTAAGAGAAAATCAGATGATTTTCAAAGTTTGGATTGAGATCAATCGTAGTACGTTCATTGAGTCGATGATCGGTGCAGTTTGCCAACGACAAACGATGCACACGTAGGCGCGACAGTTCGCGCGGATAAGCCTCTCTCGCTTGCAAGTCGGTGCATCGTGCACGTAAGTAGAATCTACACGGCGGTCGGATGGATTCAATCGTAAAACTTCGACGTCCGTCTTAAACCCGTGTGCCACCTCCATCCATCCAACCATCACTCTTCAACGAAAGACCCCTCGCCCTCCAGACAACTGAGTGCCCGACATGTCTCCTCCCCGCGCCAGGGACGTGCCCCCTCCCTGACGGTGCCCGCAGGCTACCATGCATCTCGTCGGCGTGCCGCTGCTACCAGCACTCTTAGTGAGTTACGGACCGCATGCAAGTGCGCATCGAACGTATCGGTGGTGTCGCGCTTATTCTTGCTTGCACTTTTCCACGTTTCACCATCTAGATTCTTCTTCGTGCCTGAACTGCGACGTGATTTCTCCACCGACCACCTTCCCGGTCGAACGAGCGCCGTTTAAACCAGATATCCGTCACGGTTCTTCACGTCGTTTAGAAGAATCGTTACCTCGTGACATTTGTCAGTCGATTGCTTAGGACTTCGTTTCCCGAAGAGAAAGGAGATTCATTCGAGGAGAAATATCATTCCAAGACTTTCACGATAAAACGTGATCTCCCAGGCATAATTTTGAAAAACAAACGAAACGAGATCCAAACAACGTGCATCGTGTGACGTATCCCGATGGAGGGAACCGTCGTCGTTTCTCGGCGCACGAGGGGAGGACAGAGAAATAGAAGGGGAATAGAGTGACACGCGAACAGGAGGAAGACGCACGCAGAGGAGATCATTTAAGTGCGCATGTGCAAAAAGTGCGTGGCGCGCAGGCTGAAGCTTGCAAGCGTTGTTATGTTTTTGGTGGAACTAGACGTGTACGACCTCGTTAATTTCCTTATCCGTCGCCTTGTTTTCGTTTAGTGTACACAGTAAGCTTAGTAGTTCTTCGATGGTGTTTACGGATTGTTCGGCAAGTGAAACGAACAGTATACGAGGAGCCTAAGTAAGGGACAGAACTGACATCGCAAAAGTCAAGTGACAGAGAGAAAACAGAGAATCTTTATCATTGAAATAGCAACGATCTATTGCGTTTCGTCATTCGAGCGTGCTGATTGCAACGTGCGTGCACGTGTGGTGTTAGTGAAGAACAGTCATACAAGAAATGCAAACATGTCGGTCTGTACACGCGCGCGTGCGTTCGTTCTCGCGCGCAGATACGACACGAGGCTCGGACTCGCGTGGTACGAAATAACGTGCATCAGTTGGTGAAAGATTCTACGCGGTATTTTTTCGATCAGACTGTGTTATTCGATGGACACGACAGACTACTTTTAGTGTAATACAGTGATTTACAAGAACTACGATCAACGATTACCAGTGGTTCCTCGATCACCGAACGAACAATTTACTTGAAACAAGTTCCTTACGCTACTAGTATCAGGTAAGAAAATAAAACTTTTATTTCTTTCGTTTTTATAAATTATCAATGCGATTATCAGTTTGGTGTTTAATTTTTGACGTATTCAACTCTATCGGTATACAACTCACGAATGTCATTTGTATGAATAATGATTTTTCTTCGCAATTTCGCGTTTTATCTTCCTTTACTGCGAGCTTTCGTTGCGAACACGATACCGTTGAGGTTATGTTGGCATCGTTTCCTTCGCAGCGTTTCGTTTATGATACAATTCCGGTATTATCAACTGCGCTAAGTTATAATGATTATTTAATCGTCATCAACGGCTTGATAATAGTAAACGTTTAGGACTTTACGATACTGCTTTTTATGTAATGACACCGGCTTTCAGACCGTTTTTACCTATGAATCTATTTTATCTTATACGCCGTTGCAAAAAAGAGAATTCGACGATAAACACGTATGAGTTTAATGTAATAACTCTTGCGAATTTCAGAAGTGTACGTAGGATATATTTCCTATCGGGCAATTGTTGAATGCGTATTACAAAATGAATAGCATTATCGATTAACACCTTTGCTCTTTATAGCGATATGTGCGCCAGGCTTGTGTCGCTAATTATCATAAGTACCCGACGACAAATTATTCTATTGATCTGATCGCTGTCGATCAGGAAATGTTTCTTAACCTCTTGAGAAATACAATACCACGTACATCATTCACAGAAAGTTTGGTAACAGCTTTATTTTAGAAGAATTATGGGTAAAATTACAAAGAGAATTTACGGTACCAAAATGGCGGCAATGGCGGAGATCTAGGGAAAAGTATTTGTACATTTTTAACACTAGAACTACTAAACTAGACAAAATGACTGGCTTCAAGTTTCTTATTTTAACTTATAAATTTTATTGAGATATTTTCGTTAAAATGTATGCTGGCTATTGTTAACATATAAGTTATATTTCATCCTTTGTGTATTTAATTTTCTATATTATTTTCAACTTAAAACCTTTGGAGCGATAATGTTTCTCCGCATTGGTATCCTCAGTTAAGATTCTTCTCTTGGTTGAGTTTGTATAAATTGCTCAAAAATTTTAACTTCCAATGCGATCTTATAATTTCCACGCCCCGTTCTTCGATCACATCATCCATCTTCAACTGTTTATTCCCTTGTACGCATATAACGCACCCCTCCTCTTTGTACACCTTACATGAACACCAACATAAATCATATTGGCACATACGCTAGACCCGATAGACCTATTATCACTATCAGTAATGGATATCGGAATCTATAATTCTTACCATGCTGGGAGAATATGGTGTGGATGAAAGGTGTTGTTAAAGAAATGTATATTTTATAACACAGGCAGCTCAATTCCCGTGTGTATTGTACAGAGTGATTAATTAAAAATCGGTAATTATCTAATTAACAGGCATTTGCAATCTGTTGGAAAAAATGGTGAAAGAATAATTGTATGTTTTCCAATGAAACTTTGATTTTATTTAAAAATCGAAATGAATTGATCCAAAATGTCGAAATACCACACTGTACAATAATTTTCTTGCTGCCAAGTTCTTCACGGTGAAAGAAGAGGCTCGATTGTCAGAAGCGAAAAACAAAAAGAAAAAAAAAAACGGATGAATTTGTCGACGAAAAAACGCAGATACCTCTTGGACTCGCGCTTCGCTCGAAATCTGCCGATACGGTTTAATGTTGCAAAAAGAATTGCATGGTGGTGCGAGAGGGGGAGGTAGCGAATGCAATTGATAAGATGAGCGTGTCGCTACTTCGTGGTGTAATTAGAGGCCACTTTAGTGATTCGTGACAGAGTATGATGTACCGAGTCGCATGATAACGATGCGCGTGCACGGGATCCCAATGGTCCCAACGGAAAGGTATTTTGCAGGACCGATACATTGTAGTCACTCGAGATTATATTGTTTCCCCTTTGGCCATGGTTCGACCGTGGGAACGATTTCCTCATTTGTTTTATTTCAACGAGCTCACCCGTCGCGGCACCTTTGATGGCGGTACTGCAATTATACTTCATTTTTATGAAAATAGAAACCATCTAATTGCACCGTACAGAGATGGTTCAGCAACACCTTGTGCAAATTTTCAGATTTCCATTTTATATTTTTTCATTCAAATATGATAATTTTTCTTGCAAAATTGAAAGTCTTTTAAGATTTTTATTTATTGAACATTATGCATTGGTGTAGTCGCTTGGAAAGCGGAAAATCTGGATCCCAATCCAGAAAATTTTGATCGCTCAAAGATTCTTCCCCCTATATTTCCCATCGTATCTTTTTCATTTGTTTGTTTCAGTCGCTGTTTTGTTGTACTTTCCGTCAGTTAACTTCCGTTAGTTGCTTCCAATAATTACTACTGAATATCGTGCAGTGCGTATGATGTTGTCTCAGGAAGCTTGGTGTTTTACATAACTGTTAAATAGCGGGAAGTATGAGAAAATGATAATGATTCTCGCAATTAGTTTTTTTTACATAGTATTTAATTGTTACGGTCTGGGAATTGAATCTAGTTTGTCTAGGAAGGCCCAAGCACGAATTAATGTATCGTCGCGCTTCGACCGGCTACCGCCGCTCGCTATTAATCCGATTGTTATGGCTAAGGGATTATCCCTGTCTCAAATGCAATGCCAACTTTGCCGGTTTCACCGGTAGCCTAGCGGCCTCGGAAAGATTTCTCTTCATGAACTCAGGAGCCTGCTCCTGGCGAGGTCGGAAACGGCCTCAGGTCGACACCTGCGTCAACCCTAGCACGCGGGGGGCTTAACGGTCACAGAAAACTCTAGGGTTGAAAGTTAGTACGCTTCTTGTCTTTTATCGGTTCATCTCATAAATGATCAAACACTCGTGTCTTCCGCCGTCCTCGAATCATACTCATAATCATTTAGATTTTTTTCTACATTTAATTTCACAAAGGTAAAGCAAGCGAAGTTAAATCTTAGATGGAAAAATGGCACACCATCGTAAATTCCACATTCCACATTAAGTTGTGAAAATCAAACAAAATATCTTTTTCCAAATAAAATTCAACAAATTAAGTTCGAAGAAACAATTTTATTCTTCGATTTTTCGATCTTTAACGCTTTGTATTTCTTAAATTAAATGTTACATTTTTTGTAAATTATTTTGGAGTAATTTATTGCAGTTAAAGTTATTATAGATTCAACTTTGACAGTGTCTAATCTGACCTTGCCATGATATCGAAGACTCAAGGTATTATATGTATCTACATAGCAATTTCAAAATTTTCCATTTCTAGCAACACTGTATAATGATTGCATAAAGTACGAGTGTGCACAAATGGAAATAATGCATTTAAAAGCACATGTAATTACCTTAAGTTGCATACATCTTTTGAAACAGGTGTTAAATGTACTTGTAACGTTTCTGAAAAGATGATATTCTTAAGAAGTAATTAAAAAATTCATTTTTCAATTAAGATATCGAGTTGAAATAATATTTTTTCAAGGTTGTTCGTAATAACACTTATAAATATTTTGAAAATTTATACAGAATATTAAAAATATTTGTCAGAAATGAAATAATCGTGTTGTACGTAATTTTTGCATTATGAAACACATAAATTGGTGTTTAGGTATATAAGATGTACACGTATGCGATTTGTTACTTTGTTCAATACGTGATAACCTTATCGTCTAACGTTTTTAAAATGCGATTCCACTAGCGATAAGAAGTTTTCTAGCGAATATTACTCACAGTCGATACGAATATTGTTTCACTTAAAGTTAGTGCAGAAAAACAATATTTTTAAAAATATTCTTTTATAATTTCGACAAAATTCGAGCTAAATTGAAATCATTTAACATTAGAATAATAGATGTTTATATTTACTTGGAATTTAAAAATCAAAAATTTAATTTTAAATTAATTTTCATTCTCACTTTTTAAATTGCAAATATACTAATTTTCCAATATCTGAAAACTTTTCGTTTAAAAATTATTTTTCTAAATTTGGATCACAATTGAGTGTCAAAAATTCTAATAATTCCTTTTCGAATCATCCATGTCATATTAAGAAAGATTGCATAAGAATAAAGTGCTTCAAATCCTATTAACAACAATTATTAATGGATTTGCAGAGATTAGAGTATACAGTATAGGAAAGGTGAAGTAGAGTGCGATTTAAGGATATCCGTTTATCAGTTTTAGCATCAAGGATGAAAGGGCTTTAGGGCCTGCACCTTAATATGCTCGAGGGTCTCAGATTTCAAAAGAAGATTCTGTCCGTATATCCAACCCCAGCCTACTCTATATTTAGTAATACTTTGTTTAGTCGTGTGGCATTAACACTAATTTAATTTCCTACCGAATCCTCTTCAATCACTGTCCTCCGTTTCCATTAACCGGTTTATAAGTTCTGGCAACAGGTTTTCATTATGCAAGCGTCGATCTTCTTGTTACCTCCTATTCGGTATCTTCCTCGTTTATCCTGACTCCTAGCCGCGGTTCCTTACAACTTTTTACCTGTTCGAATTAGAATTTTCATAGAGCGTATCCTTTGAGAAATTCGATCGAAATGAACGACGAACCGCATGCGATACTTTGTGAGATATGTAAGTTGTTTCTGAAATCGATTATCGACGCGTAAATATACGTTGCAACAGTAAGTTTAAATCGATTGTCCATGAATATTTTACGTTGAAAACTACGTTGCGAACTACGTTATGGTTACGGTTTAAATATGTAAAAATTTATATGATTTAATATTTATTTAATTTAAATATCGAGCATGGTAGCAAAAATTGTCATTTTTCTTAGAAGAATAACAATTAAAGTTACAGTTTAACTTTACTAAAAATTTATTTTCAGCTTGTTATACATATTATGAGTTATATGAATGTGACTCGATATCATAAAGTAAAGGGTGAAGATCCTCAGAATCTCTTCCATTTAGCACGTACTATCGTTTCATCTTATAAACAGTGTCGTCAATTTCTCTTCCTACATCAAATAAACACAGGTATCTTGTGTACGCGATAAATGTATACAAACTTCGTAACGTGACTTTGAGAGAGCATTCTTTCTTCAGTGTAAATCGAACATTGAAAGAGTTCAGACCTACAGGCTGGTTCATACAATTAGAAAATAATGTTAATGAACTTTCTTAATATTTATTATATCGACTTATATCAAAGATTTAATAATTGCTATTTCCAGAAATTTTGTTTTATATTTTCCAGGAATTTATTGACATAGAATCTCTTTCTCCGTCGTTCTACTACTTACAGCGCATGCTGTATAATAAGTAGCTTATCGTAATTTGAATATTGCATTCCTTGCACATTTTAGATAGTGATTTATCGTTAGGCGTATACCATTAATATTAATATCGTTAACATAATATAATATTATGACTACACGCCTAAAGTAACACTAGAGCCTTTATATCTTTATCATTATCAAGTGATAAAGTTATCCAAGTAGATGATCCTCCAATTACATCAAACAGTGCCATTTATAGTGTACAGTGATGAGAAAAAAAAAAATATCCTTTGATAACAGTCGGCATCGTATTCAGTTCGATAGAATTTTAATTTGAGGCACCGTGGGTCACTAATTGAACGACGGTATCTAACATAGGTCTAATGCGATCCGACGGTAGTGGTGTTACGAATACATTCCGCGTGTAGATATCGTATAGCTCGAACGAGATTGCTCTGATCAAGTTATCATGCACTATTTCCACTGTGAAAGCCGAATTTTTATCAATTCACCCGTTCACTTTGAATTTCAATCTGTCCGTCTTATAATATCGTAGCTCCATTTCCACGCAGTTCGAAGCACGTAGAAAATCGTCCATTTAACTGGTATTATATATAGAAACTTTGATTTCCATTTGCCAGGATGTAGATCCCTTTTTTGCAATCTAGACTGGTTCCGATCAAGCAGGTAATTAAGATGATAAATAATTGATAGCAAGTTATAAGATTCTTTAGATTTGTAACAGTTTCATGACAGTCGTGTTTATTTATTCAAAATCAGTTTGATTTATTTATTAATTCATGAATTAATCTTGAGGTCGAATAGTAACGTTGGGACAGTAGTATTTTAGAATAAAATAAAAATTTTCAGATAGGCTTGTAGGTCAGCGAGGATTTTTATCGTTTCGAAATTATTTAAAAATATGAGATTGGGAAAAATTAGACTCGTAGAGTTATTTATTTATTCTAGAGCTCCAAAAGCAGGGAATTATTTAACGTTTAGATAATCGCCACCTCTAATTTACTATTCTTCTTATGTTTCAGATTGTACGAAGAAACGATGCCATTGTATCAAAGGATCACACCTGACGTGTTTAATTTGAAATATATCCTGGAAGGATAAAGCTAACACGAGAAACAGTAGCGATCCGTTCAAACGTTTCTTCGAAATTCTTGGTAGTTATAGTAAGGAGGGCCCGACTAGCGGGCCGTTCGTGTTTTCGAGTAAAAAGGGAAAAGAAACAGCCGAAACTCTGGCTCCCATACAGTTGAGCGGCGGTAGTGTGTCCGACAGTGTGGAGAATTCGCAGGACAGCATGGAGAACGGAGACGACTCCGCTTCTGCTCGATTGGAAAAGAGCTCGTCCTCCTCCACAAATGGCACACTCAACCCCCGCAAACCACCGAATTGCGCGCGTTGTCGCAACCATCAGCTAAAGATCGCTGTGAAAGGGCACAAGAGATACTGTAGGTATCGTTATTGCAAGTGCGACAGCTGTAAGCTGACAGCGGATCGGCAACGAGTGATGGCGAGACAAACTGCGCTGAGAAGAGCCCTGGCGCTTGACGAAGTCAGAGTCAGGGCAGCCGAGGAGGTTAGTCCTTCTTTGTTCCGTAGGGAGGTTTTTTTTTTTTTGAAAAATGATATACGATCATCTTCCTTTTTCTTCTCATCTACACAATAAGAACTTTCTTGAGTGGGATATTTCAGTTGTAGTGATGCATACTTCATTTTTGAGAAAATTTACTTTGAATATTCATTTGGTATTTGCGTCTTTACCTACGCGTCTATTTAATCAATCTTATCAATTATCTCTGTTTACCATTGTAAACATCACTAATGGGTTTATGCAATAGATTCAATGTCGAGATGAAGTGTTTGCTTCTTAAGAAATTTTTCAATCAAATTACTTTTAAAAACTATACAAACTTTTTTACCGATATTCATCTTCACAATTTTTAAGAAATGTATTTGTTGCTAAAGCAGTTATTATCGCCTGTCAGTGGACATTTAAGTTGTTGTATGAAAACAAATTGCGAGTTTCGAATGCAATAGGTTAACTAAAGTTTGCCCTCAATCGTCGAAACGTTGATCTAAAATCATAGATAATGCAATTGCCTGAAAAGAATTGTAGCAACTCACGATTATTTCCTATCTCATCACGCTCTTAAGCAATTTACAGTGTAAAGCGAATTGCCTCTATGTATTTCTTAGTGGATCCCTCGAGCACAATAATTTCAGATAACCCGAGTCGAAATATGAATTTTATAATAAATTGATTCTCCAAAGTTTCCATTTTTTTAATTTTCATATTCTAATGTAATAATTATTTTATAGATTTAATAAAATATTCTGTCTATTGTAAATAGACCGTAGGGTAAAATTGAGATTTCATAAATTCTGAGCTTCAATTCTGAACCCAAATTCTTCTAAAATTTTACGTTTGATTATCCGAAGCTCAGCTACGATTGCTAGGTTGAAATTATGCAATTTAAATTTCGACTCGGCAAGCATGGTATCTTGCCGACTCCCGATCGTAATTGATCTTTTACTAGCAGGTGGATCCACCGCCATTCGGGGTGGAAGGTGATCGACTTCCTTCGGTTCCTCAGCCAGCTAGAAGTCTCGAGGGTAGTTACGACAGCAGCAGTGGAGATTCGCCTATCAGCAATCATGGCAATAACGGTGTGCACAGTAACCTAGGCGCTGTTATCAGTATACCTACTTCCAGAAAATTACCCCCGTTGCACCCTCACACTGGTACCACCACCCATTTGCAGCAGTCGCAGAGCGGTGAGTGATACAATAATTTTTCACTTTTCCTTCTTCTTACTTTACTTGAAAAATGAAAAAACAGTAGACCTATGCTGATTTTACGAAAGTCATTGACAAAGAAGACATTTTTGCAAATAATATAATAAGGGTTAAAATTAACATAAATCATAACTATTTTAAATACGAGTACGTAATTACGAAAGGTTATTATTAACCTTTTATCCACCGTTAAATTACCATGCAGAAATATTTTTTACACGAAGAAAAGGCATACAGAGGCCAATAAAAATTGGCAACTTTCATCAAGGGCGGAGCATGATACGGGTGGCATTGAATCGGTTCTGTACTTGATATGCATGTTCATCGGCTATTTACTGCGATGAATATATACATATATATGTAATGTATATGTATGTATACGATGAACACTAGAATTGCCTACCTGTTGCTTGCTCCGATTTCTAGTCACCCCCTTCACCCATAAAATTCACCCGACGCTCGAGGAGCAGCATCATCCTTTATACCGTCATGAAGTGACTAGAAAGTTTCGAGTTCAATAATGCAAAGCAATGAATTATTAAGAGAAACTCTAGTTTCGTTTCCCTTCAGGACTTTTCTGGCATTTCCTTGCGGTGTTGGATTTCTCGTAAATTGTTGTACACCTTATTACGAACGACGCCTTTCACTCACGAAATCAAGATTGATTAACCTTTAATCAAAAACTATATAAATATATCGTAACATCCGTGACGAGTTCTCGAGTGTAATTGAGATTTCTTAATTTAACGCGAAATCTTGTTATTTTCGGTTAGAAATTTAAACTCTTATTAAAGTCAATTAATAATATTCAATTAAATTACAGATCTGCTTCATTATTCAACAGGATATTTCAGATTATTCATTTATTCATTGAATTTACGGTCCGGTTCATACACAAGTGTGGTCAGAAAATTCGATGAAAAGACTAGGAATGGTAATTTAGCCATTTCATTCTTTCGAGTTACATTTGCTAAATAGGTAAACTTATTTGTGACTAACGCTCCTTTTGTATTTACCAGTTAAAAAGGCTGCTATTAGCGATCATTTTATTTGGACAATGATTATCATTTAGTAAATTTTATGTCTTACCATTTTTATAGCTTCAAGCTTCATCAGTTAGTTTTTCTGTTACACTTTTTTGCAAGCAAAAATGTCATAGTCTTCTTTTATGTTCGTGAAAGAATGTTCAAAACTAAACTTATTTTATTTTGAAATAATTAATTCGATTATTTGCCTGAAAAGTATGCCTTGAAAATGCATAGTGATTATAAACAGTAGTAAGGTCCGGGCATCTTATTAATATAAAAAGCCTTGAAGTTGAAATGGAATAGTATATATGTAATTTTGTACGAATTATTGTAAGGAATAATTTAGAAATTATACCGGTCACGCTTTTATTAAACATACTGTATTCCGAAACGCATCGTATACATTGCCTACATTACCGCTAATTGTACCCATATGCTCATTAATTGCTTATCTCCTGCTTAATTTAATGTCTTAATTTGATTTTAGAGATATTCCTCGAAATTCTTATCGAATCGTTGAAGTTCACGATAATTTTTTTACGTTAATTTACGTACTTCTGCGTTTGAGAATAACTAAATGTTAAATGCACGGGATGAATAGTTAATTATATTTGAATTTCTTTTCTTATTTTTACACCTATTTTTCTATCTCTTCAGAAAATTTCTGCGTACTTGATATCAACCTTTCATCATAGATGGAAACAAAAAATCAGAAATAAGTTATCCAAAATATATTATCCCCCTTTTTTACCCTTGCTCTATTATTTTCTTTCTTGAAGAACTCAGTGCTTTGTAATAAAATTCAATTTAATTTCAAGTTAATTCAAACATTAACCTTCCTCGCAAAATATCACTGTGCAGATTCAACGCAGTATCAAATAAGCAATAAAGTGAAATAATTATAGAAGATATTATAATTACCAGATAAAGAGACCTCCCCTGTTGCAAGCCCCAAAGACAAAGACTGGTATTCAGTTACACTCGATCAGGAGACTGCTATTTAGCCGCATATACGAACCATTTGATCGTTTGCAATCACCGTGCAAAATATTATTTCACGACGTCCGCTTAATGAAAGATCATTCATTATTCCCATGGACAATTCCAGCACTGTTCTCTGGTTCTTCGAAATCGTGTCGCTTCTTATTGATTACCTATAGTTTTCCTGATTTATCGCTTTAATTGCCGATACGTTGACAAACAAACGAGTACAACGAAATTTTTATGGAACAAATCGGAGCATGAATGAAATACAAAGCAATAAAATATTTTTTGCAATTTTCCTGGATAACTTGGGTCGTTTACGTCCATGACTAATTTTGTTACTATTCTTAGCTCTTCAAAGAAGTTTGCAAAAATTCCTTACTCTTTAAGGGCCCTAGTTTCATGTATAACCGTTCCTCGAGGTGAATATTTAAAGAATTAATCGGGAAAAATAAGTATAAGGAAAAAGTTGGAATTCCCTTCGGATATAAACGAGCCAACTTGAACGCAAAGGGTGAATTTATTCCATGTGAAATTGTGCACACCTATCTTATTTGCTATCGATCAGATTCTTCTATATCCGGTAAAGGTAGTGATTCGACTTGATGATATAGCATGCGGTAAAGGGTTAGCCGATTCCTCTAATTTACAAGAAAGTCTGTGAACGCTCGGAATAACCGACCGAGAACGTACTTATAATGTCGTTCACAGTGATCCCAACGAAATTCAAGCCGCTCTTTCACTTGACAACCCGACCGAATGTTAACCCTGGTTTTACGAGCGTCCCCCATTGGTCGACGGGTCGTTCGAAGCCAGCTAATATAATACGAACTTATAACCAAAGCCAAAACCTGGGAGCTCGGTCTTGCTTTTACGATCTGGCTCGTTTTTAAAACTTATCGTTATTTTGCTCGCTTTCGGGACGAAATAGTTTGTTCACAGACGTAAACGGTCCGAAGGAGGCTAAAGTCTGCGCGATGGATAAACCACTAAAGTTGAATCGACGCGTACCGTCCAGTCCCGGGCTCTGTCTGGTCAGGATTCAGACCAAATTCCCTAACAACTTTTCACCGGGATAACTATCAGGACGATGATAAAATTTTTTACGATCGCGAAACAACGGAAATCATCCAATTCGTAAACGAAATTACAGTCAAATCTGTCGTATATGTTCGCTCAAGGATCATCTGTCCCCAATTTTCTTTTTAATGAAACGAATAGGCGACCATGGGTGGCGTTATTAGTGTTAATATCGGTCTTGGGTAAATTAAAATATAACATTTGAAATAATTAGTTTTTTCCGCTATAAACAGCTTCTTACGGTAGGACCAAGGATATCTCACGAATAAAACTGGACAAAATACGGCGTTAAATACTCGTGGAATTACACCAAATAAAAAGTCGAACGCGTATGTCGCTTTTTGAAAATCATTAATAACGAAATTTCTCAAGGTACCCGGTGTCGTTTCTTTCCTTAGTTCATTCAGATGGCTTTCGATTCTCGGTTTACGATACTCTCGTACAGATAAAAAGTGATAAACTGGTTAATTGATTTACAAGCCGTGCGCGTTTCCACGGATCGACCATCATGAAATTAACACGGTATCTCTCTGTATCATCGTTGCTAATGGAAAAGTGGCATGGCCAGTCTGGAAGAGAGTACCGGAAGCGTTCACCGGCTCGGGCTGAATCGTTGCTGAACTTAGGGGTTATTATAGCCGGTATACGGGGTTGTAAAGTTTCTCTTTACGAGCTTGCACTTGGAGGCATCAAGCACGGGCCTTTTAATAACACGTTGCTCGTTGTTATGCCGACAAAGAACATGCTTGGTGAAAACGTAACATCGGTTTCCCTTCGTTTACGTGTATACACCAGACGTTCCGTCGTCGCCATTTTGAATCGCACGTGAGGCCGCGCGACTCAGCCATCTGACGCGTGGCATTTACAACTGCTCGTTCTCATAACTACTTTTTTTTCTTTCTTTTCCTTTTCTTCTTCATAAAGATAATTTCTTGAATTTCTTCTTTAAGTTACGGATACGCGTTCGCTACGCTACCGGTCGAAAACATTCGGCTAATAACTGATTATAATTAACGACTCGACCTCTTGGTACTATCCATTTAATTGCTGTGTTTCATTATTTAGTAGGCAGATAACAATAATTATTCCTTTCAATGCATTTGGGAATCGTTTCCTGATAATATTATGGTTTCTCAGCAGTTCAAAGAAGTTTCAAACACGTAATTGACACATGTCATTAAGATTTCCCTCTATAATATACAGACTGTAGATTTTCTTTAACATTATTGTATTATGAAATTGGTGTTAGTTAATTTTTCATGTTACGGCTTCTTTATTTTGTATGGTAAATGTACATCACATTAAGATGACATTTGAACATTTTTATAAGTATCCTAATAATCACATAATAAATGAGCTAACATGTAATTACTCAAAGTTGAAATTCGAAATCTAATGATTCTTAAGTATTTCGATTTACAGCTTCGTTACTGTGATTAGCGTGTATACATGATTCCTGATATATCAAAACAAATCAGACGGTCTCAATTTATATCCTGATAATGTTTTACGAGCGACATAATTTCTTTGGTACAAAGGCATTCGACACGAAGTACAAGAGAAAAAAGTAGCATCGTGTAGAAAAGAGGAGATCGTACGAAATTCATAGGTGCTCAAGCTGATTTTATTCTTTCAATAAAACGAAAGAATGCTTTTTAGCGAACAGCAGGCGTTTGATCGGTTGTAAAGATTAATTCGTGATCCTGCGAGATCTTGCCTGTAATATTGCAAGAAATATTAATTCTTCGACTAATAGTGCACGACTTCCAGAGATAAACATTCACGATAACAGAACAGATTTACTGCTTTTTTTTTATGGTGTTCCTTGTTTTGTGTACAAATTTCGCCTTGGTGCAATTGCAATTAGGCTGCTCTTCCAATTATACT